TCCAATTTCCTTCTGAAGTGAAATTCAGCTTCTGTCTCCTTTTTCAGCCCTATTCTCATTTCCTGCCCTCTCCAAAGTCCTGTTCACGTAATTTGTGATAACTGTAATCTCATCAAAGATGCTAACGTTGTTACTGTGAAAGGAACCTGGATCTGGAAAGTCTGTTTCTCAGTGGCAAGAGCCCTCTTTGATGTTTATACCAAGGGTCTCCTATTAAAGACAAAACAAGACGACCATTGGTCTCAATGTGACTTTGCCACATGTGGCTCTCCACTTGTCTGGAACTCTGAAGGGAAAAGCTACAAATTCTGAAGCAGAAATTGTAGGTAGCCCATTGCTATTGAAAAGAGATCTATTTCTAGGTCACTAATGGGGGAAACTGAGACAATTTAAGGTAAAAAGGTATTTAAAAGAAACCCTTGTTTCTTATTTCTGTAATACAACAATCTCTCTTTCGCATTTTGTAAACTTATCTTCCCAAATAGTCAATTATGCTTTCAAATGTGCTGAATTTACTTATCCAACATAATCAATTATCACAATTTTGCATCATCCAACTAAAACCAAACTGTCATAAAACCAGAGACACTACAAATTTAGTAACATCTGTCCTCATAAGACTCATATCCATAAGTCGTTAGTCTTGAAAACCTGAGTATTATTATCTTTAAGAAAATGGGCATGAGTTAGAAAGTCAAGATTCTGTTTTATACTAAGGCTAAAATACCCAGTAGCTTTCATTTTTAAAACAAAACAAATGACAATAAAATCAAATGGCTTGATTTTAAAGAGCCTCATTTCTTTTCAGTTTTGGAGAAATGAAAGGGAACAGAGTCAGTCACTAAGATGATCCTACAATATGAAGAACACACTGCAATCCCCTTTTCACTACATCCTTCATATTTTATGCCATTCTTATTTCTAAATGAAGTTTTAAAAATTCAAACTTATTGTCAGATTGAATCAGAACCAACTCACAGCTGACACTCCAATGGGTTTCCTGGGAGGAGAATGCCCATCATCTTCAGCAGAGTGGCAGCTGGTGGATGCCAACCCCCAGAGACATGGCCTGTGTGTTAGGCTAGGCCACCAGAGCTCCCTTTAAAAAATGAATTAGATGAGAAAAGGTAGGAAGTTAATCAGAAGTTTTGGAGGGAAGTGGCATTGAGACTGGCAGATCAAGAACCAATAAAGAACTTCTGATAAAAACAGCAATTCTGAATTAATCCAACTGAAATAAAATTCTGAGTACAACATTACAAAATGGTTTTGGGGAGAGGGATCAGGTAGGAACAAGGCCTTGGAACAGCAACAGTCAGGATCCCTTAATCAGGAAGAAGAGGCATTTAGGAAGACTTGAGATGAGAGAAAAACAATGTTCATGAGAGACTCTCAATGACCTTTAATTTAAAAGGAACATCTAGTTTCTGTCAGAAGACAAGAAAGTGAAGAGTAAGATAAGAATAAAATCTTTCACCATTATTGACATGTAATACATGAAGAAATAAGCTATAAACAAAAGTTTAAAATGTAACCTCAAAAAAAAAATGTAACCTCAATGACATGGGGGAACAAAACAAGTATGTTTGAAATTATTATCCAAGGTTTTAGAGCTGGTTTATAGAGTTAAGCCAATTGGAATACGGGTGAATTCCAATCCTTATGGAGAATTAAGTAATCAGAGGTAGGATTTAGAGCAGAATAAGAATGTTCCAGGATACTGGCTTTTTGAAGGCACTCAAGAATAGAGTGAGAGAGACTGAAGCTGCAATGAGAAAACAAGATTAGAGAGAGGCGTATACTCAGCCAACCACTATAAAGAAGCAAAACCAACTCCAGGAACTTGTGGCAATACATGTATTACTGAGTAATACATGGAGTAACAGGTAGAAATCCACTTTATAAGTAGCTTCTTACAACAATATAACTGCTATTCAGGAAATTAGAAAGAAAAGTTTGTTTTTCCCAATATGCAATTCTGCATAATAGTTTTGATGTAAATGAAGAATTTGATAAATGGTATGTTATATCCAAAGTTGAAACAACCAAGAAGTTTGATTTTCCTTTGAATCTTGCAAAACCTATCCTCTAAGAAAAAAAGATCTGATCATAAAGTCTATAAAAATTCTAGAGTATAAAAGTATAGAACTGTAAAGTGGATCTATTGATGGCAACTTTTATGGCTTCCACAGAAAGTGTAGCGAGGACCTCTGGTTTGCTTTATCGAGGTAGTATTCAGGGTTGAAAGGTCACCATTATCTATTAAAAATGCTACAGGTAACAGAAGCAAGTTAGTTAGGGTGCTGTTATTGCATAATAGTGCCACTGTCTCTAATGGCTTATGACCTTTCATTCCTGAAAAAGGAAAAAAAATCCTTTGAGAAATTTCCTATCTCGGTTTAGGCAAAGAAAAATTAAAACCCAATGTTCCCTGGCTCAATTTTATATTCTGACGCATTAAGGTGAGTGGATTTTTAAATGGTGGACAACTGATAAAATTTTAAAATTTAATGCCCTTTTTCATTAACTATTCCCCATAAAATGCTTACCAAGTAGATGAACAATGGAATAGAAGTTGTCTTTTCTATACAGTAGCTCAAACAGAAGGGTTATACTAACTTTAGCCTTTAAAACAAAACAGAACAACATATTAACAACAGCCTGCCTACTGTGTCTTCCTAACCGAAATCTGTGAGAGGGCGGTAAATAGAACTGCAATGGATTTCATTTTCTGCTTCATTTTCTCAAATTTAAAACTTCCAGTGAAATAAAAATAAGCATAAATATCATTTCAACAAACGTAAAAACTGTAAAAGTTTTCACAAACTAGCAAATGTAGAGTTTACAAGCATCTCATCTTCTGTTAGTACATGAAGGGACAATCAAATCATAAGGAGATTTTTATCACAATAAATTGTACTTCCAGCAAATACAGCTTTCAAAAATGGTACAATTATGGTAATGTCTGTGCTCTGTCATTAATCTGAAACAGTTCATATAAATGGGACTATAAGAGTGTAACATTCTTTGAACTATGGTTAAGTTTTAGGTGGAAACAACTCCGCTACTTGCTAAAATATAAGAATTAAATCACAAATACATGTGGAAATGAAGCCACATGCATTTAAACTGTTCATCTTCTTTTCTTTATTAATATTTTAAATCTAATTTAGTATAAGTCTACCTGACATAATTTGATAAAGTAAGTAGCCTTTCCATTAAAGCCAAAGGAAGAATTTATATATGTATATATTTATTTTTTTTTGGGGGGGCGGACTTGTCCGGGATAAGAATTTGTATTTTCAAGATAAAACGATGAGAAAAGAATAAAGAAATGCAAAGATACAAAAAATGCAATGCCAACACAAACAAGCGCCTGTGAATTTTTCTCAAATAGGTCTTGCTCCTAGCAATGAACCAACAAGCCTTTAAAGATAGTGAAATTAAATAAAAGATACAATCTCCACTGCTATCAATGCTGAAGTGTGGCCTTCCTTGTCTTTAAAAGACTTACATACATAAGTACAGAGAAAAGCTGAGAACTCAAACTCCTCCATTGTTCTTTCATTCACAGATGCCAACTCGGTAATATATTTTGAAGAATTTACAGGGTGCTGCTGTAGCGTATGTGGGAAAGACTATATAGCACAATTAAACAGTTAATCTTGGTAAAGGACCCCCAACCAATTTTTCAACCCTGAGTCTGAATTTTGAGCATGTTAAACCTGATTATATATCTATATATATTAAGGCTTAATCCTGCAGTTCTTATATTCAGAAGCATTAATATCATGGATATTCATAACACTTCATTATTCATATTTAATATGACATTGATAAGGAGTCACTGAGTTCTGAGCAGTTTTCCTGAAGACTTAAATCAGGGAGGGGGGAAAAACCAACCCAAAAACAATTAGACGTTTACAGGCTGTTCCACAATACATTTCACTAAGAATTATACAGTATGATAATGCTGGTTTTTAAATTTTTTTCCCTTCGATTAAGGATAGTGGTGGTGGTTATTTGCTTAATACTTTTGTTTTCCTGTGTAGAAGATATTCAGATATTTTCTTATGGCTATATTCACTTGAATGTGAAAATCAAAGATGACTACCTGAATTATCCAGTGTATAATTATAGTACACCTCATTAAATGGTTGATTCAATGGTCTCAAGTCTAGAATTCAGAATGCTACCTAATACTGTATATTTATTTATTTAGAACAAAATAAGTATAACCAATTAACTAAGTCATAATGTATCTTTTTCCCCCCCTAACTAGTTTAAAATGACAGGCTTAACCATGAAATAGTGATATGTCTACATAAAAATGTAGAGTCACAAACTTGTCCTGGAATGCAAAGGAGACTGGGGGAGAGGGGAAGCAGCCACTCAAGATATAACAGTCTCATGCAAGGAATTTACTTTCCTTGCTGGCCTAGATCCTGAATATACGCAAGTACACCAAATTTTAAAAATAACATTCTTTAAAACTGACATCCAAAACCAGGAAGAAAAGTATGTCTGAGGCGCTTTTCTGCCTCATTCCAAAATTTTCCTATGCTCATTATAGAAAACAAAGGCAATATCAAAGAAAGAAACTTGGAAATATTCAACCGAAGGGGTTTGTGCGGGGAGAAGGGTGCAACAATGAATGAATGGAATTCCAAAATCTCTGTAGATGTTCATTGAAATGAAAAATAAACAAACTAAATTAATTTAAAAAAAAAAGAAATATTCAACCGAAATGCTATTACAGAATGTGGTATTTTTTTAAATAGACTTAACCTCAATTGAAAGAGTTCCATTTTCTTTTCTTAGCACAAAGCTAATCAGCCAGAAAAGCACTTGAAGCATTATCTGTGTATTTAATATTAAAAATTAAAACAAAAATAAATAAACCAGGATTCTGTCCAGGTCATGATTTAAGAGCCTGAGGGGAAAAAAAAAAAGAAAATGAAGAAGTTTGAAGATTAAAAAGACAAAGCAAAAGACAGAAAGTAGATCTAGTTTTGGAACTCAGTTCTTCTTTATGAAGAATTACAAAGTTGTTAGCTGTACTGAATCATGTCTAGGTAAATTTGTTGAGTTAAATTACCCAGAATGGTTGACCTTCTCTTCAGCCTTTCCTATAATAAGCTCCTGATTGACCATTCTCTTTCAAAGTTCCCCAAACTTAAAAAAAAAGAAAAGAAAAAAAAGAGGAACCTATCTAAAGGTATTAGAGGGTTGCTCTCCTGACAACTATTAATCGTGAGGTCACATAATCATTTGCAGAAGACAGGGCAACAATAATGTTTTTTGGCAAGTTTTCTCTAAAATTTAAACTGTGTGAGTATAGCTCAAAGCTGTGGCTATATTCAGTGATAAAACTGTTAATTTAAAGAAAGTGTCCAGTTTGTACTCTTATCCAATTTCTCTTCGGCCACTATGAGCAACATTATATTTGTGATTTTAGCTTACTATTTTATCTTCTCATAGTAATTTTTTAAAAATAAAGCAACTGCAAAATGAGCAGTATATTTACTATATGAGACTGACTTTGTCATCTCATAAAAGAGAAATCTGAACACAGCTCCTAAAGTGAGTAACATATGGGACTGAAATGAAACTGTCTCTACTGCTTCCTCCTCTTAAGAGTGAACAGCTTTACAGATTTTCAAAACACGCAAACTCTTACTTAGGTGATATTCCTGAAACAAGGCCCAATTCTCTGCAAATAATTTCATGTAACGTGTGAACTAAACAAAAGGAAACAGAGAGGACAGGAGCATGTCACTGAGCTGAACAGGTAACTGAGTATTAAATAGAGAGAATGAAAACTACCAAGAACTGTGCTAAATTCTGAAAGCAAAACCTCATTTTTATAGTAACCTGATCTGGAGACCCTCTCAGATACATCTAAACTCTGAAGCACCTTTGAGTTGTACGGATGTAAGAATAATTTTGAACTATAGAAGTTATACGCATCTTTAAGAATCACATCTTGATGATTATAAAAATTTTTTTCTATTTTACAACATAGGTCCAGCTACACTGAAAAATTACACCGCTTATTGAAATACATTTCATTTTAGAAACAGACTACTAAAGAAGTCTATACAAAAACTCTAAAATAATTTCTGTAGTAAAATAAAGAGTGAGTTAGGAGAGCTACACAAGAAGAAAATTTTCATCTTTCTCTATAATGCTTGATATACTGTGATACATGGCCAGCTTGACACTGTAGCCAGCACCAAAAGCTGAAAAGAATTCATTATGATACACAGTGATACAATTAATGCTCTGGATTAATCTCACAGCCTTCCCGATTAGTACAAAGAAAACCAGGCCTATCCCCTCTTTGAGGAGAAGTCCAGGATATAAAAAGCAAGCATACCTCATCAGCTGATATGAAATTATAAAATTCCGTAAGTCTGAGTATTTGAATTTATAAAAGTCACCATAAAATGCAAGCAAATTGGGCTTTAGTTCGGTGGTTCCCTGGTTTAGATGATAGTCCCTTCTGTGAGTTCAAGGCTGTCTTCTTGTTCAGTCCCTTGGATCTGTTGATTCACCAAGACAATGATAAAGCTCCCGGTTGGGCTTAGCAATGTCTGACAGCTACAGAAATTCTTACCCACTCTCTCACTGCAAACTCACATACGGGACCCTAATGCCAGACGAACACACTTAAGGAGACGGATGTTAATGATGCTGTGCTGCACTGTTCTTTTCTGCCAGGTGCCGCAGAAAGCTGTCCTCACTCTGACCTCTATGATTTAAAGGCTCGCTCTTAAAGAGAGCTGGAGGTGGGGGCAGGTGAGGGACTGGAGGGATTGGAAGGTGGTGGGGGTGATGCGGGTGGGGATGGATGTGAAGGTGAGAAAAGGGGTGGGGGATGGGTCGAGGAGGAAGAGTGCTTCCAGGATTCATGTTGACTGGAGGGGTGGGGGCTGCAGGAGTATTTGCCACAGAAGGAACTGGGGTGGCTGGGGAAGTTGTAAGTGGGATCTGGACAGCAGGCGGCACATTCACAGGGCTGGTCACCCGAAAGCACTTCTCCTTGTGGGCCTTCAGCATGTTGGAGAAGCGAAACCGCTGGCCACACACGTCACACGGATAGGGCTTCTCGCCTGTGTGAGTTCTGCGGTGCCTCTTCATGTTGGGGCGGCTGGTGAAGCTTTTGCCACAGATTTCACAGATAAAAGGTTTCTCTCCTGAGATGAACACAGACACAAAAAACATGATTAACACACTAGGCAGTAATTATGTGTCATGTTATTTCCAGAATTGAAATAGATTACCATTCCTTTCTTATTGTGTATTATAATCGAAGAATCATAAAGCAATCCCCAAATCCGGGAACTATCAATCAGAGTAGATATGAATGAAACATACATAGAACCTACTCTCTTGGTTTGGTCTTAAAAAAAAATAATAAAGTAAAAAAGCAGAGTCTCCAAGTGGTGATCCTTCCCATCCTACACCAACAGTTGTTGAAACGGTTCTCCAGTAACTACCACTAGGGAGGGACGCTTCATTAGCATGTAGACAAGTTATCTGGGAAGTCATTTCTGTCACCCCAACCAAAAGTAAACAAAGACTGTGTTGGAAATACCTGTGGAGTAAATCTGCTGCTTCATGCCTTACTCATACATTATCCTGAATACAGCTTACTTTTGGGTTTTGGACTTAGAAAACGCAGCTCCCATAAAGATTGTTGTTGTCACCATCAAATTGAACACAACTCATAGTGACCCTATAAACAACAGAGCTGAACCCTGACCTGGCCTGTGCCATCCTCATTCACTCTGACAATGCTGTTACCCATCCATCTTGTGGAGGGTCTTTCTCTCTTTCATGAACTCTCCACCTTTCCAAACATGCTGTCCCCCTCTAAGGAACAGCTTCTCTTAGCAATATGCCCAAAGAATGAGTGATAAGCTTTTCCATCGTTGTCTCCCATAAGGATTACAGGCAAGTAAACCCTATGGGGTTTTACAACATAATAACTTTGTAATGTAAGTGAGATCTACTTGCAGGATGCGAATAGTCTTCTTTATAGAAGCAGCTCTCTAAATATTTTCTCCCTCGGAGTTGTTCAAACTCACTGTCAGAGTCAGAACAGGCTTAGAGCTGACCCTCCTGGCTTTCTGAGGCTGTGAATCACATGGGAGGAGACTATCCATCTTTCTCCTGCAAAGCAACTAGTGGATTCAAAACTTCAGAGGGGAGTGCCACCTCTGGGTTGCCAGCATAACTCCCTAAAGATGATGCCTCCACAGTTCCTCGGTGGGTTCAAACCTCCAACCTTTTGGTTAGCAGTCAAGTGCTTAACCATTGCTTAACCGGGTCTTTAACCAATAGTGAGTGCTATTTTACCTTTTTGCTTCCCATTATTCTATCACTCCCACTGCTGTGCTCTCTCTGTGATTCATACTCATCTTTCTAGACAAATTCTGGGCTCAGCATTTTCCCTTTCCTTCTCATTCATTTCCTTCAGTGTTTTTTTAACACTTAAATTCTATGTTAAATGGAAGTGGCAACTGAAAATAATACTGTAAGTACAAAAATGTTTGATACTATTAACTTGAAAATATATATATATGTTAAGTAGAAAATTTATAAAAATATATGCATATACTATTACTTAGGAATATAATTTTTAAGCTGGGGAAAATGAAATAATATATTAGTACTAATACATTATTTATTTTTTCCCAGCTCAAAAAAAAAGGAAATTTATTATTATTATTATTATAGCATATTTTTACTGTAGTTTTAGTGGAAAATTTACACAACAAATTTGTTTTCCATTCAACTATTCATATGTTAAAAATATTATTCTTTTTATAATAGCTTCTTAGTATTATCTACTTATAAGGAAAAATATTCATAAAACAATATGGATGAAATACAACAAATGTCACCAGCAGCCATCTCTAGGTAATTGGACTATAGGTTATATTTTACTTTATTCTTTATGCTTCTTCATATTTTCTGGTTTTAAAAAACAAATATTATTTAATTGTGCAGTAAAATGCTGGAGAAGAGTCTTCACCATATCACAGACAATCAAGAAAACAAGTCTGTTTTAGAAAGTGTGAAAGAAATCAAGTTTCTTCTTGGAGGTCAGGATTTTGAAGTTCTGTCTCACATACTTTGGGCAGATGGCTAGAAAGAACCGGTCCTTGGAGAAGGACATCGTGCTTATAAGGGAGGAAAGACAGTGCAGGAGAGGAAGAACCCGGATGAGATGGATTGACACAGTAACGGGGTAAGTTTGCCAGTCAGTGACACTGGCTCAGGATAGCGCAGGCTTCAGAGCTGTCGTACACAGGGTTGCTATAAGTCGCAGGCGACTTGATGACTTATAAAAACAACAGTAAAATGTTTTAAAAAGCATATCTATTTGATAATCTATCAATGCTCTTGATCTTTCTCCTCTCTTGACCACCTTTGAGAGATTTATGATTCTTCACTCCTAATAGCCACCCAGAAACATAGTAATTCTCCCAACTGAAGGATCTAATCTTTGAATTATGTATGAGGCAACAACATTATATTCACTAATAACTTTTTAGATACACTAGACACCTTATTCACAAATGCCATGAATTCACGGAAAGTTTATGGAATGTACAACATTAGCTCTTTGTTGAATGTCCAAATGCCACCCCTAGAACTTTTGGATAATATCTTTTTAAAAATAATTGTTATTTTTTATTTTGTGTGTGTGTGTGTGTGTGTACTGTTGAATCAGATCTGACTGGTACAGGAAGAGATTGCCCTTCCTTCGCCAGCAGAGGATCTGGTAGATTAGAACCAGGTGCCTTCAGAATTGCAGCGCAGCTTCTTGCCATTAGGCCACCAGAGCTCCCAGGATAATCTCTTTTTAGTCTTAGGTTTTAGTGATATACCATATAAAGACCAGAAACTAACAGAACTTGCCCCCCAAAAATCCTTTATGAATGCCAATTAAAATGGATCCCTGTCATAACTTAATGATTTATAATTATTTCTTGATGTGCTATTGATTTTCCACATGAAGTTATTCCAAATTTTTATTTGGCACAAATCCACAATAGCATCAGCCTCTAACATTAGTAAGAGCAGATAACACCATCTCTTAAAGATGCTTAATGGCTATGTTAAAGTTCCCTTGAAACTTCAAGGTAAGACTAAGTTGAGGATGAAATAAAAAGTACCAAAATCTAAGACTGAAAATCAACCTGTACACTGTAAAGAAAATTTTTTAAGTGGGTAACTGGGAAGCTCTTGTAGCAGCTAAGACCTCTGAAGCCACTAGAAAACAAAAATGATACTAATATATCTAAAGATATAATCTATCACATATAGGTAACTGTAAGAACTCTGTATTATAAGGAGTCTGAGGAAATTGTGCAAGAATGAATGAATTTTTTAAAGAGTAAAGTGTGCTAGGGGCAGGTAAGAGGAAGATATGCAACAATGAATAAATAAAAAATCATGTTCTATGTAAAAGCATAATAAAAAATTCTGTTAAAAAAGCAAGAGCATTGTAATGAAGATAGACGTCTGCAGGGAAGACAGAAGAGTAAGAATCTGGCTAGTTGTCTCCGGTATGGTTGAGTGGAAAGGGCAACTGGGTCGATAAACACAAGCATTCCTTATTCTGCTTAGTTTGTGTATTCTTTTTTTTTTTAATTTTTTTTAATTTTTTTATTTTATTTTATTATTTTTGTGTGAGTGTATTGTCAAATCAGATCTGACTGGTACAGGAGGTGATTGTCCCTCCTTCCCCGGCAGAGCATCTGGTGGATTTGAACCGTGTGCCTCTGGGATTATAATTGCAGCTCCTTACCACTAGGCCACCAGAGCTCCCCCAGTTTGTGTATTCTTGAGCAGCATCAGAAATCTACATCTATATCGTTACTGTTGTTAAGTGTTGTTGAGTCAAGTACGACTCACAGTGACCCTATGAACAACAGATCTGAACTTTGTCCTATCCCGTGTCATCCTCACAATCTCTGACACATTCAAGGCCACTACTTCAGTCACTGTCAATCTACTTGGTATATATATGATGATGTTGGTTTGTTATGTGCTGTCAAGTGCTTGTGATTCAACAGCTCTGAAGCTTGCTCTATCCTGAGCAAATTTCATTTTCTCCAGCACACCTACTTCCATTACCCCAGTCACTGCGTCAATCCATCTTGTCCAGGGTCTTCCTTTTTTGTGCTTTTTCCCCCCTCCATCCTTCCAAGCAAAATGTTGTTCTCCAAGGACTGGTCCTTCCTGACAACATGCCCAAAGTATGTAAGATGGAGCTTCAAAATCCTTGCCTCTCTAAGAAGCAGCCTGGTTTCACCCTCCCCAGGACAGTCCTGTTTGTTCTCTTACCAGCCCATGGTATGTTCAATGCTCTTTTCTAGCACTACAACTCAAAGGCATTGATTCTTCTTCTGTCATCCTTATTCACTGTCCAGCTCTCTGATGCATAGCAAGTAATTGCGAAGACCATGGCCTGGGATTAGGTGCACCTCAGTCTCTACACTGACATCGTTGCTCTTCATCACTCTGGAGACATCCCTGCCAGCAGATTTTCCCAATGCAATTCACCTTTTGATTTCCTGGCTGCTAGTACCAAGGGTGCAGACTGTGGAGCTGAGCAAATTGAAACTGTTAATAATCCCAATCTCTTTCTCCATCTATCATGATGCTGCCAAATGGTCCAGTGGTGAGAATGCTTTCTTGATTTTGAGAATCATTCATATTGAAGCCTGCAGTCCTTGGCCTTCTGCAGCAAATGCCTTAGGTCCTCAAGCAAGTACGGTTGTATTATCTGCATAATGCAGGTTGTTATAATGCAGTCTTCCTCCAATCCTAATGCCATATTTCTTTTCATAAAGTCCAGCCTCCTGGATAATCTGTTCCACATATAGACGGAAAAGGTATGGAGATAGGATGTATCTCTGTTATATAACTTTCCTGATTTTGAATCAGCAGTGTTTCCTAGTTCTATTCTGACATCTGTCTCCTGGTCCAAGCATAGGTTTCGCATGAGCACAATCAAGAGTTCTGGGATTACATTCTTTTTAATGTTAGCCACAACTTGTTGTGATCCATAGTCAAAGTGTCTCTGCACAGTCAATGAAACAGATTCCTCTGGTACTCTCTGCTTTCAGCTAAGATCCATCTATACCCCTTAAACTTCAAACTCGTATTTCAAACTGCCTCCTCAACATCTGTACTTAATGGTCCACTTGAATAATACTTAAAAAATCGTAAGATAAAATTAGACTCATAATCCTACCTACCAAACTTGATCCTCTGTCTCTATTCTCTATCCTGACAAAGCTCCAAGTCTGAGACTAAGCTTGATTCTTCCTTTCCATATCATCTGGCTCTAATAAGTCACTAAATCAATTACTACCTTACTACTCTTTATTGTTTCATTCACTAATACTATCAGATCATCTGAACTATTGTAATATCAACATGGTAGGCTTTATCATCTTTATTGTTGTTCCAGGAGGCCTCTGGGCAGCACAGTGGATTAAGTTTTGAGCTTTTATACGAAAACCTGCTTGTTTGAATCCACTAGACACTCTGCAGGAGAAAGACATGGCAGTCTGATTCTGTAAAGATTTACAGCCTTGGAAATCCTGTGGGTTCTAATCTGTTATGCTGCTGTTGCTGTTGTTAGGTGGTGTCATCTACAACTCATAGCAACCCTATGAAAAATGGCTCTGAACCAGGCCCTACTCTGTGCCATCGTCGTCCACTCGGATATACTTGTGCCCAGTTTTTCAGCTGCTGGGTCAGTGCGCTTCACTGAGGGTCCTCCTTTCTTTAGCTGAGCCTCCACCTTTCTAAGCACAGGGTCATTTTTCCAAGGACCAGACTCTCCTAATTATATGCCCAACATATGTGAGATGAAGCTTCACCATCCTTGCTTCTAAGGAGAACCTGGCTGCACTTTCTCCAAGACATAACTGTTTGTTCTCTTGATAATCCATGGGATATCCAGTACTTGTCTCCATATCACAACTCAAAGGCATCAATTCTTCTGTCATCCTTAATCACTGTCCAACTTTCAGATGCATAACAAGTAATTAAAAAGACCATGGTTTGAATCAGATGGACTTTAGTCTTTAAACTGACATCATTGCTCCTTAACACTTAAAGAGGCCCTTGACAGCAGGTTTATCCAAAGCAATATATCTTTTTTTTTTTTAAAGTTAGCCTTAGATGCAGTTTTACTACCCACTTTGGGCTGCATTCCCAAGCAAGCCAACTCCCTCCAGGAAGTCCCAGGCCCAGTGCATGAGGGGGTGGCCTCTGGCCTCACACCATCCACTGGCTGGGCCTCAATCAGAAGGACTTGGGCGTGGCACCAGAGAGTAGTATGTGACATTCCCTGCCTCCCACCACAGGGCGGAGATTTGGCACTGGGCTCATCTTTTGATTTCTTGATTGCTGGCACCAATGGGGCTGATTATGGATCCAAGCAAGATGAAATCATTGACACCTTTAATCTTCTATCATTGGTTCATGGGTAAGGATTCTTGTCTTCTTGATGTTGAGATGTAATCCATATTGAAGGCTTTGATCTTATACAGCAAATATTTCACATCCTCTTTGTTTTCAGCAAGCAAGATTGTTTCACCTGCATAACGCAGGTTGTTGAAAAGTCGTTCTCTGATCTTGATGTCACACTCTTCTTCTAAAGTACTCTGTTCTATAGGGTCACTTGGAATTGAACTGATGGCAGATTTGATTTTTTCCATTCTTGCTCCAGAAATTAGTCTGGGTACTGGAAATCGTTAACTTGTTTGGCTGGTAATGGAGATGTTGCAGACTCAAGTCCATCCAGAGGTGCTTTGGAAGAAAGGCCTGGTGATTTCCCCAAAATTTGGAGCTTGAAAACTCCAGAGCACAGTAACTCAGACACACAGGGGATAGCCACGAGTCAGAGTTCACTCAATGACAGCTGGTCTGGGTTTTATTCTTACTCCACATCCTCCAATCGATTTTCTACCCTATACACACAGAGACTCTTTTTTTTTTAAACATAGGGACCTTTTAAGCATCAAAGAAGCTATGTGACAAATATTTGTCAGTCACCTACTCTATGCTAAGCATTGTGTGTGAATTTGACACAACATCTGCCCTCAAAAAAACCTGTCTGGTATAGTCCCATAGTTTTCTGCTGAATAACACAAAAGTTATAACTAGTGACTGAACTAAGAGCCTATCCAAGAAGCATCAAAATTGTAAGAGAATACGTTAATATTCGGATATATCCTGCTATATCCATGTAGTCTATGGCTTCAAAATTACTGTTACTTTTTAAGGTTTACCATAACTAATTTAGTTCCTCTCCTGACTCCTCTTCTAATGTAATCCTTATTAAGCTGAGAGGACTCTGGTATGAATGAGAAAGAAGTCCTCTAGGCAAGGATCTTTCTTTGGACTTCAAGAGAGAAATGGAAACAAGACCCAGCCATGGGCAGAGTTTCCTCATAAGCAAAAAGAATTGCAGGCTAAAAAAAGACAATCCTATGCCTCTTCCTTGCTCTGCTACTTTGTAAACCAAGAATCTCAAGATAAGATTTTTTTTTAAAAGAAACCTGAATGAAATTTGTTTTCATGATGTTCAATTTGTATAAACATAACTTATCCCAAAATGCCAAGTTAAGGTCGAAAAACAATGTTAGAATTTACAGGGGGAGCTATTATTTCAGCCAGTTCCTTGGAGGTTAGAAAATAAAACCATTAAGATTTAAATGCATGCTGTAGAGTATATTCCCCTCAAAGCACACAAACTTGTTAAAGTACTATTTAACTTCTTGAAAAGTAGTAAATGCTAGTAAATAAAATTCAGCCAGATTTTTAAAACATTCTATTTAAAGCAGACAGTGTTGTGTATCTTTTAGACATTAGGTCCTGAAAGGCCCTTCCCTTAGATCTATACCATGTACACACAGAAAAACATTTTTGTACAATCAGGAATTCTTGAACCTCAGGTACAGAAGTTATTATATATAAAGGAACACACAAACAATCTTTTCTTTTTAAATAGATAAGAGCTATGAAAGCCCAAGTTTTCAGTAACACAAGGCTGTATTTTTATATATCAGGTTCATTTAAAGTGGGGTTTTCACTTAAAATGCAGATTTTTATGGTCTAAAATTTTAAATAAACGGACACAGATGCTTATCAATAAATGTTTGAGACATACTTACACTTTTCCTAAAAAATAAAAAAAAAAATCTTACCAGTGTGTGTTTTCATGTGTTCGTCGAAGTACTGCTTCATGTTGAAATCCTTGCCACACCACTGGCACATGAACTGTTTGTGCCCAATGTGGATGCTCATGTGGGAGCGTAGCTGGTACTTGTACTGAAACCTTTCGTCACAGTTCTGGATTGGACACAGTGGAGATTTTTGAATGTCAAGCACAGGAACCTCGCTTGAGATCACCCCAACATACTGAGATTAGATTTATTCATCATACTCAAAAGAGAGAATGTTTGTGTCAATAACAAAGGGAACATTTTCTCATCCAATTATCCCTGAAGTATACCAACTTTTCTGAATAACTGAGGAAAGAAAAAGAACTCCTGTGTTATGCTCCAATGTAAGCTAACCTAGGGGAGTTAAAATCATTAAAAATGACATTTCACCTGATGATTTTGTAGAAATGCAATTGTACACTTTAAATGATTAAAGGCCCCCTCACTGCCTGCCTGTGTACACAAAAGCTAGCCCTCTGGCAAATGCATGCCTCCTTACCTCGCATCTGAAGGGCTTCTCTCCAGAATGCTGCAAGGAGTGCACCTTGAGTGACATACTGCGTTTAAATGATTTTCCACAGGTTTCACATGTAAATGGCATGTCTTTTGTGTGTGCTGCAACACAGAATACACTGAAAATAAGCCCAACAAAAAGCAAACGTCCAACTGTAAAGCAATCATGCCATCTTAAAGTTCTACACTCTAATTTGTGAGGATTTAATACCAATGTTCTGAAGAGAAAAATACATTAACAACGCTGAAAAGAAATCTGGTGTGGAAAAGGATACCACCCAATTTGGCGATGCTTACTGAAGACATGTCGCAGTTAGTTTTAACAAGTCAAAATTGATTAGTATAAGGTATTTTCTCATATCCTGCCCAATCCAGAGCATCAAAAACAAAGAACAAGAGAAAAGTAGAGATGTGAGAGAAGGGGGGGTAAACCCCCAAAAACTTACCAACCATGTGTTTCCGTACATGAGCCATAGTATAAAATTTCTTCTCACAAATTTCACAGGAAAATTTCTTTTCTGCATATCCATGGACAATCTTGATATGTTCATGAAGTGACCAGAGTTTCTTGAATGATTTATTACAGGAAACACACTGAACAGGACAAACAGAAACAATCTTTATTTATAGGGACTTAGAGAAAGCCATTCCTGCCTTATGGCAAGTGGAGTGAATGTGCTTAGGATTCACAGCACAGAGCCAGCACCCACACAACGTGACTCCTCCAGGGAGTCCAGATTCTAATACCAACGACTATACACATTCTATTTTAAAAGAAGCTTCTTTTAGAGATACGTTGGGAATATGAAAAGAATGGTGAAAATGAAAAAAAGAAGAAATGGGAAGCTTCACTACCATTACCAAGTTAGCACATAACTATTAAAGGAACCTTCCCTTTTATAAATACATGGATTACCAAATGCAGCCTCCTCTCATATGAGTCACGATGTAATTAGTATGCATAGAATGCAAGTTAATTTAAATATGTATAAGTAAATAATTAATAAAAGATGTAATAATAACTATAGATAGATTGAGAGCTCAGTGGCTTCAGTGTAAGGAGTTGTGATGCCAACCCAGAGGCACATGGTTTGATTCCACCAGTTTGTCCAAGAGAGAAAGATGGGCAATCTTCTCCTGCACAATTTACTGCCTTTGAAAACCTGTTGGAGAGTCAACTATAGAGTTCCAGCTCAGCACATACAACACAGATCTGTAGCATGAGGAAATGTCTTTGTCTTACAGAATGCACTTAGAGCCTTCAAAAGCACAAGTAATTGAGATTTTACTTTCTTTCCCCAAATTTAAATTCCTCTAACAATAATGTAATAGAACCTTGAAATGGTTTGTTCTACTTTCCCTTTCCACTAATGCTTAGTTCCAAATGTCTCTTTTTAAAATCTACAGGAAATACTATCTACCTAGTTCCCTGTATCCTTAACAGCCTGGAATGTCTGCTATCAAGTGTTTCAAAACAAAAATTTCTGGTTAAAGCAATACAGTACCAGAAAGCTTTTGATTCATCATTAAGTCCTGGAATATTTAAAGGAGTAAGACAGGATTTGCTGTAAATAAAGATCTCTGAATATCACTGTCACCTCAGGAAATAAGAAACCTTGCGAAGAACTAGAAAGACAAGCCTTAGGCAGGATCTTGCTCTAGAAAAGGAAAACTAGCTCCAGAAGGCAGTCTATGGGCAGGGTTTTGATTTTCACTTGTGACCAGGTCTTTATCATTTACTAGAATCTCTAGGTTAGAACAAAGCACAACATTCTTTAAAGGGAACTCCTGTATCAGAATCCAAATAACCTAGTCACAGGCTTCCATGTACTATGTGAAGAGTAGTGAGGTATGTCACACAAAAAAGGGTTTATTCAATTTCTCGTTTCCTGTAATTTAATGAAGCAAATAAAAGTAAAAAGCTGTGAAGACCAAGAACGCCTTTTCAACAATGACTCACTGTGTGGAACCTAAATTTGACCTCTAGGGTGCAGTAGTGCACCACATTTCCTTTGGCTTGACCTGCTGCAGCCAAACCAGGGTGCTGGCAGGTACTGTTAAGTCAGTCTTCATTTACTTACTCAGTGTGTCTGAGATCCAGTTACAAATGGGAAATTAGAAATCAGTCAATTTTTTATCAACTGCAACTTAGATATATATTTTTTTAAAATGTCTTTAATGTAAAGCAATGATTTCAGTTGTTGATTAAAAAAGCAATAGAGGAAAAGCAATACTTATAAATATGAAAGGAACACATACACACACAAAACTCCAAAACAATCCAAACAAAAAAAATTTAATCTTTTAAAAGCTTAGATTAAAATAGTGTAAAATATTACTAATTTATATAGCTTAGGGAGACATTAACAGACTTACCTTTCTTTTATGAAGAGTCATAAGCATGCATGCACATGTGCAAACACAATACAGTTGCAATCCACTCAACAGAACATAGTTAGCATACCTCTTAACCTACAACAGTACAGTTCTTTCATTCAGAACACCAGCCTGATGTGAATACCATGTGTTGTTACCTTAAAATACTGCATTGTGGTTATGTAACCCTACTCCCAGGTGGGTAACATTTTCACCCAGTTTAGCCTTGTTTAAAGTTTGCACATTCCCATGGGCTCAGCCTCTTGACAAATTTAGTGCTGTCATCTCTCCACTGGTAAAAGCAAACTCACTCCTGGAGATCTTCCACTTCCACCGCTCTGAGTCATGCTGGTTTTTGTCCCCATCAGATGCACTAGAATCTGGCATCCTTTTAACCCTAGAAAGGGGCCTTTCTCTACTCCTGACACTCAGTATCCCCCACCAGACTGAGAAGATGCCAGAATGAATTCTATTACACGAGCAGTCCTAAAAACAGGGAATCTCAGCGCAAAGTAGGTGCTGACCTCCTTCCTGGTCAATCACCTACAACATCCTTTTTCCAATGTACCTGGGGGTTCCCACTAGTCCAGCGTCAGTTAAGTTTAATGCTTTGGAAATAAAAGATAAGGACTCAGTTTGAAAAAAGAATAAAGTAGGAGTTTTTGGAAAAATAAACTGGTGAAATCTGTCCCTTCAGCCTCTACTGTACTTTATTCTCTTGGGCAGATACTAGATGAATCTGAACAGCCAGATTCTATCCTGGGAAGTGTGCCCTCTCGGTGAAGAAACCTACCTGAATATTTTTTTCACAGTCTGTTTGCTGGTGAAGGGACAGCTCACTTTCCAGGACAAACTTCTTGCCACATTTATCACAAATCTGCATGCGCCTGTGAGTAACGTTCATGTGCTTCTCCAGGTACCAGCGAGTATTAAACACCCTGGGGCACTTCTCACAGGTCAGAGTCTCTTTCTCTTCACACTTAGCTTTCTGGACTGGTGCTTTGGGCTCTTTTGTGGCCCGCTTCTTACGCTTAGGTGGTTCTACACTCTTCCTACGACCTCTGGTAGTTCTAGGAGTAGGGGAAGTGGTAGCTGCAGCCACAGAAGCTGCTCGTCTCGTCCTCCTCTGTGCAACGCGAACTTTCTCCACCGTCTTCTCCTTTTTCTTCTGCCTTTCATTCTCTCCATACTCATTGCTGTCATCTGTGGGGTCTTCCTCACTCTCTTCCTCTTCGTCCTCACTGCTTGTCTTAAGAACAGGAGTCTCTTTGGACTGAGAAGAGACACCCTTTTCCCCTTTAGATACATTTAATGTTTGATTATTAAGGTTTACCTCCACTATGATCTGCTCCCTTTTGTAAGAGACTTCTTCATCCTCCTCCTCTTCTGTGTCATCAGAATTCTCCTGGTCTTCTTTAACAGCATGCACGTCAGACACTGATCTTGTCTCCCTGAAATATGGCTGTTCCTCTGTTTCATGGAGATGTGGTTTGCTCATCTTGGTGTCTACTAACACAGAATAAGGACTTCCTGATTCCCTTTTGTACACTTTGGTGGATAGGTCAAGTTCTTGGTTGGCACCATGATAAAAGGCAGATGGCACTTGACCACGACGGCTTTCTTCTTGTGCCATCCCCGCTACATGCACAGAACAATTTTCAACCAGCTCCTGACAGGAACTGGCCACGTGGCTCATTGGTAAGTGGCCCAATTTATTAAGCAATTCAGATATGGAGAAAAAGCTTTAAAAAAACAGTAATCATTAAGACTTTAATCTTTTTCCATCCAAAGAACCACTCAAATAAAAAAAAAAATTAAAAAGATATTCTGGAACCTGTGTGCAATTCTTCCAGTGTGCAGCACCAAAGCATAAGTCAAAAAAGATTTGGTATTATGGCAAGAGCAGAACATTAGTGACTTTTCTTTTGAAGAGAGCTGCAGATGGCTTAGAGCATCTTATCTACAAAGAAAGAAAAAAAAAGAGGGGAAAAATAGTAAGATACCATTTCCTTCTTAAAGCATACACTTAAATCATACAGCAGACACAACTTAAAATTATCAGACTTTTTATATATAATGAATGCTAAAACAGCTCAGGACAGGTTATTACCAAGTTTCTATGAGAACATAAACTCTGTAACACAAATACATCCGTCCAGTTCATAAAACTACTCTTACAGTTTTGTACAGTGATTGTTTTGTTGTTATGTGCTGTCGAGTTGCTTGTGACTCATAGCAACCCTATGTACAACAGCCCTAAACTCTGCTCTGTCCTGTGCCAATCATACTGTCTCTGACACATCCATCCCGATTACCCGTCACTATTAAACCCTATTCCTCATAGAGGGCCTTCCCCTCCTGTGCTGTCCCTCCACCCTCCCAAGCATGATGTCCCTCTCTGAGGACCAGTCTCTCCTTACAACATGACCAAAGTATGTCAGACGAAGCCTCAGAATCCTTGCCTCCAAAGAGCAGCCCGGTTTAACCCTCTCCAGGATGAATCTGTTTGTTTTCTTAGCAGTCCATGGTACCCTCAATACTCTTCTCCAGCACCACAGCTCAAAGGCATCAATTCTTCTTCTATTCTCCTTAGTCATTGTCCAACTCTCTGATGCATTAACAAGTGATTGTAAAGACCATGGCCTGTATCAGACGCACCTTAGTCTCCAGAGAGACACCATTGTTCTTCAGTACTTTGGAGAGGTCCCTAACAGCAGACTTTCCCATCACAAAGTGATTAGGCAAATAATAAACATGTCTAGTAATTATCTAATGAGTAAATGAATACGCACTATTGCACAGCATTCATTAGTCTAAAAGATGGTATGACTATATGGAATATAGGGAGATATGGAATATATTGGCTCTGTCTACGAGGAGTTTGCAGTCCAATTATGCAACCTGAGTCTTCCATAAAACACACAAAGGGTTTATGTTACTTGGCTTTCTTTACAGTATTAATCGCAAACATCCACCACAGTGAAAGCTTATAGAACAAAGGTGTAGTGGGGTAGGCATTACGGACTAGAGAAATAAAGCAGTCAGTTGGCATAATTATAGGAGAGAAAATACCTCTGACTTTAAATAACTTATAATCCAAGTATAGATTTCAAGTACACTGGAGTAAGTTTCAACTTCAAAATGTGTTCTACACATAGCTCACAAGATACACTCAATAACTCTGTGGTTTGTCAGTTGCACAAAAGAAAAAATTCTAAGAAACAGCAACCATCAGGTTGATGATGGTTCCAAGAATTTTTTTTTAAAAAGGATTAGACATAATTTGCTTTTGTGACAAAGCACAATGCTGTTTACTCAACCACCAACCTCTGAGTCATCTGACTATTACTGCACTCTGTCTAGGTGACAAAAGGAAGGAAGCTATTATTTACTGAATGTCTGCTATCTCTGAGTCTATATAATGTTTATTACTCATCTTTTTTACATAATATCTATCATAAAACTTGGTAGAAATTTTAGAACTTTTTTTAAAAAAAATCAACTAATTCAACCTTTTTAAAGGCAAATATACCACTATGTTTATAGCAAATCTTCTGTCCTACCCTTTGAGTCCCACATTCCAGAGGCAGTAACATTCACCTGTTTTACCTGTCTCCCACACATCTAGGTGTTTAGTTATTTGCTCCCATATTTCTAAATAATGATAGATTTCTAGACTTCAATTGTAGATTTTACTTATCTTCCACTATAGTTTTCTGACCACATTGTTCCCAAATATTTCCTCACTCTCCTAATTATCACATTTTGTTGAATCAACTCTTATTGCTTATGACTATGCATAATTCACAGCTGATAATTATATTCTCCTACTACTGATTTCGCTTTCATTTCTTTTGTTCTTGTGACTGTAACACACACACACACACACACACGCACACACACATATATTTTAAGGTAAAAGACTTATTAGAAAGTTACATACCAAAGGGACAAATCTTCCTTCTTGAAAGGAAATATGGAGGAGTAGCCTATATACTTTTAAAGAATAAGTTCATTTGCATTTTAGTGGAATTTCAAAAAGGAATGACATTAAAAATCAACACGCTTTAAGAGTTAAATAGATATATTTATATTCTCTTATTTGTAAAAAATAAGGCTTAGAGAAGTTAAATAATTTATTAGAAATATTTTTTTATTTCAAAAGATAACTTATCTACTCAAGAACAGAGGCAACATTTGATCTCAGGCCTACTTAACTCCAGAGATTACAACCTTCCTATTTCTCCTATGACAAATGTTGTCATGTACTGTGGAGTCAGAAACGACCAACAGGTGACCCTCTAGAGGGTTTCCAGAGGCAGTAAACCACACAGGAAGACACTGCCCATCCTTTTCTCATGGAGCAACAGGTGGATTCAAACCACATGACTCTGGGACTACAGCTTTTTACCACTAGGCCACCAGAACTCCTTCATGACAAATGGCACCCCAGAATAATTTAAACCCTATTCCCGCCACTATCTATTTTTATGCATCATACAAATAGTCTCATGACTAATATTTTAAGTAGGAACATTCTCATATCTTTATTTTGCATATGCTAAAACTTCTGGCCCATGGAAATAAAATAAGCACTCTTAAATAAACTTACTCATATTATCTCAAATTAAGCAATAAAGGTGAGACCATAAAATCCAATTCACTAGCAAAAGCTAGAAGTTGAAAAAAATCAGAAAGAAAAAGAAAAAATATGAAGAATAATGTTTATGGGGGGGGTCCTCTGTGTTAGTCATTAATGAGTTTCCAAATATTTCTTTCTGCCCTGTAGGCACAAAGTGGTGTATACTTTAAAGCTCCGTTTTAAATGCATTTAGTGGATTTGCACTGTGTGTCTTTGGTATTGCTTTGCAGTTTCTTACCAGTAGGCTAGTAGAGCTTCCTGTTTGTTGCTGCTGTGTCAACAGTCAAAATCGACCATAGCTGATCCTCTAGCATGTTTTCAGAGGAAGTTAATTGTGTGAGAGGGGACTGCCTATTCTTCTCATGTGGAACAGCTGGTGGATTTGAACTGTGTACTTTTGGTATTGCAGTGCAACGTGTTACCACTAAGCTGCTAGAACTCCTTTTGAAGAATTAAATATTAAGAAGGTATGTTGCTTATTGTTGGTTGCATTTGTCAAATCAGTACACAAAATGAATGAATTCAGAAAATAACTGATCCATTTACAATCAGCAATAAAGAGACCTGTAGTGTTAGAAGAGGCAAGTGCTGTAAGTAAAACCGGGTCTCTGAGCTACCAAGACAGATTAGAATTCAGTCTTTGAGTAAGGATCAAAGGAAAGGTTTGTCTTCACAACCACTATGGTAAAACCTCTTAGTTAAGGTATTTTCTAAAAAGAGGCTAAACCTGAACTTCATCAAAGCAGTCTCTTAGCAGTCCATTTGGTTATGAGGGAATTTCTCCTATGGAAGGTAGATGCCAGCTGTTGTTGTTAAGTGCCGTCGAGTTGTAGACGACTCAGAGAGACCCTATGAACGAAAGACTTGACACTTGTATAACTTTCATCATTTCTCCAAGCTCATAGGGTTTCCAGAGGCAAGCCATTTTGGAAGTGGATGCCACTCCTGCTTCCAAGCTTGTTTTAATCGGGGAGCTCCATCAAGCACTGTCCACCATGAGTAACTATTATCACATTGGACACATCAGTGTCACAGTGTTCAGAATCACAACCACAACGAGTTACCTCTGTACAGCAAAAGGACAGACCAGTGCTATACCACGAAGAATGTTTGACCAAAACCAATTACAACCAGGCCTGAGGGCCGCAGACTAAAATCACCCACCTTTGGTTTGGTAGCATCACTTTTTATCCACTAGGCCAACAGAGCTCTCTCTCTGTTGTTATTGTAGCTAGCCAGTAGCAAAGTTAAAAAGGCCAAGGGCAAAGGCAAAATGCTCAAGAAGGGGCCATCCCACTGCAGCTGCCATCCTGTCCTAGTCCAGGCAATCAGCAGGTATTCCTGATTGGCCATGTATTCCTGGAAGGCCATGTACAAGAGGAAGTAATCAGCAACTAAATCCAGGGTTGAAAAGGAGGAAAAGGTTCTTGCTACTGTCACAAAACCAGCTGGCAGTGATAAGAATGGTGGTACCTTAGTGGTAAAACTTGGCAAAATACTTAGGTATAACCATACTTATGAGGTGTCTCAGAAACTGCTGAACCATGGCAAAAAAACCACCCTTCTACAGTCAGCATGTGAGGAAGCTGTGCTCCAGCATCATACCCTAATCATCCTCATGGGACCCCACCGAGGCAAGAGAGTGGTTTTCCGGAAGCAGCTGTATAGTGGTTTGCTCCTTGTGACCAGGCCTCTAATCCTCAATCAAGTTCCTGTCCAGTGGACACACCAGAAGTTTGTCATTGCCACCTCCACTAAAGTTGATGTTCTTGTTGTTATGTGCCATCAAGTCACTTGCGACTCATAGTGACCCTATGAATCTCACAAGAGCCCTAAAACCTGCTCTATCCTGTGTCAACCTCACTGTCTCCGACACACCTACTCCTATTATCCCAATCACTTAATTGATCCATCTCATCGAGGGTCTTTCTCTCTTGCACTGTCCCTCAATCCTCCCAAATATGATGTCCCTCTCCAAGGACTGGTCCCTCCTTGCAACATGCCCGAAGTATGTCGGATGAAGCTTCAGAATCCTTGCCTCCAAGGAGCAGCCCAGTTTCACCCTATCCAGGACGAACCTGTTGGTTCTCCTAGCATTCCATGGTATATTCAACACTCTTCTCCGCACCACAGCTCGAAGGCATCAATTCTATATCATCCCTAGTCACTGTCCAGCATTCTGACGCATAGCATGCAAATGTGAAGACTGACATTAGTAGTGTGAAAATTCCAAAACATCTCACTAAAATTTATTTCAAGAAACTATGGAAGCCCAGACACCAGGAGGGCGAGATCTTTGACAAAGAGAAGCAGAAACA